ACTGTCGGACACGAAGCTATATTGTAACTCCACTGTAACACAAACGCCAAGATATATTATAACGTCATGGTGCTATCGGACAACAAGCTACATTGTAGCGTCACTGTACTGTCGGACACGAAGCTATATTGTAACTCCACTGTAACACAAACGCCAAGATATATTATAACGTCATGGTACTATCGGACAACAAGCTACATTGTAGCGTCACTGTACTTTCGGACACGAAGCTATATTGTAACTCCACTGTAACACAAACGCCAAGATATATTATAACGTCATGGTGCTATCGGACAACAAGCTACATTGTAGCGTCACTGTACTGTCGGACACGAAGCTATATTGTAACTCCACTGTAACACAAACGCCAAGATATATTATAACGTCATGGTGCTATCAGACGCTATGCTTTATTGTAAAATCCCGATACTACCGGACACTTAGCTATATTCTAACGTCATGGTGCTATCAGACGTTAAGCTATATTGTAAAATCCTGATACTACCGGACACTTAGCTATATTCTAACGTCATGGTACAATTAGACACTCAGCTATATTACAACGTCATGGTGCTATCAGACGCTAAGCTATATTGTAACGTCATGGTACAATCAGACATTCAGCTATATCGTATATATTGGACTCTCAGCTATATTGTAACGTCATGGTACAATTAGACTCTCAGCAATATTATAATGTCATGGTACAATCGGATACTAAGCTATATTGTAACGTCATGGTACAATCAGACATTCAGCTATATCGTATATATTGGACTCTCAGCTATATTGTAACGTCATGGTACAATTAGACTCTCAGCAATATTATAATGTCATGGTACAATCGGATACTAAGCTATATTGTAACGTTATGGTACAATCGGGCACTCAGCTATAATGTAACGTTATGGTACAATTGGACACTCAATTATATTGCAATGTCACGATAATACTGGCAATAAGGTATACCATAACGTCACGATATTAAGTCTTATCAAGATGGATGAAGTGTCCGCGATATTGATTTATAAGGGTGTTGTGTAAGATTTCAGAGATGTTATCATATATTGCTATGAAAAATAAAGTAAATACTTATGTAAATAGGGTCGTCCTATCGTGTAGTGATTCTTGAGAAACGAGAGATGTTCCAACTGTGGAGTAAAAGCAAAATATTTATACTGGAACATTTATTGTAGAAATGTTCCAGTTCTTAATAGACTTATTGAAACTTAAAGTCGTCAATTACAAATAACGTCTCTTACTATATATAAAAAGATATATATATGGATATACAATTACAGTTAACTCCTAAACACATAACAATATTATGTGTAATGATAATGACAACAACCGGAATTTGTTATCACAAGTTGAAAGAAGGTTATAGCAATTTGCGATATCGCAAGTGTTATCAAAGTTCACGTAGTCGTGCGGAAACCGAAGAAAACAGCTTGTTAGTATATATATACACTATAAAACAATAAGGGGCTTGGTTCTTTGCAATAGCGGGCGTGGACTAACCTAGATACAGTGTATATTTGGAAGGCAGCCATAAGTTATGACGTGTGTGTGTGCGTCTGCAGGACTTCCGTCAGAGCTCCTTCAAATCAAAAACACAAAGAAAAATAGACACAAGTTATTGTTCCAGTGGTTTCAGTCGTACCCATAACAATAAACAAAAATAGCAGATAAAGTTAACAAAGTTTAGTGTACGTATTAGCTCACCGTACGGCAAATTATGTCAAAATAAATAAATAAATATATGAATGGGACCAATTTACGTGCATGTAAAAAGCATGGTAAACATTTTGAATCTATTTCCTGGAAGTAGTTTAATAATGATATTGGTAAAAGTGTATCCATACGCATCAAATAAATAAAAACACAGAAAGAAAAAGGGAGAGGCTGATACCTAACGTTTACGTCCGTTTTTTTGTTTAAACTCAAAGCTAATCAATGTGCTATGCCAACCACGGGTATCGAAACCGATTTTTAGCGTTATTAGACCCCAGATTTACTGTTGAGCCATTGAGGGACTAACGTTTATGTAACGGATGAAAATAAGGAAGTTGGATAAGTCGAGTTTACAATTACCTCTAATGTACAATTTTGTGTCAAAAAAGGGCCCGGCATGGCCAGATGGTTAGGGCGCTCGACTTGCAATCTGAGAGTCGCGGGTTCAAAACAAACAAACAAACAAACTATTCTCTTCTGTCTTTTATGTGGTGAAATAGAACTGGAGCACACAGCAGAGGTTGAGTGCATTATGTTAAAATCATTTTGGAGCCTCATCACATTGTTGCAGTCCATGTCACCATGTCTGGTCATTCACTATCTGATGACTGCACATCTTAACAATGGCCAAGCAGTGTAGTTTACATTGCAAAATGATTCATCATAAGGACGTCATGTCTAAAGGACACACTCCTCCCTGCAGGCTTTCCATGATACATCTAGTGTAGAAGGATGAGAATTTCCCAGAACCCATTTCAACAGTCTGATCACATAGAAATCCATGGGAATTGCATTCAGCAACTTGAAGGACATGTCTTATTATGGAAGAGCATGAATACTTGCTTCATTCTCCAGCTGCTTGAGGTATGAGACAGTTGAATGGATATGTCTTGGAAGCAATTTGTGTACACATGGCCTGTGTCACTTTTCCAGAGGGAGAACATTCTTGATTATATTGCATACTGTTTTCTATACAATGTGAACGTATTTTGCCTCTGGCCTTTGTGTTAGTGGATTCTCACTTGTTAAAAGACAGTGCACTTTGCTTGCCTTGGCTGGAGTGTAACTTGTTGCAAGTGTCTGTATGGGTGGTTCTGTGTGCTCAAGATGATCCATATTCCTTTGTTTTTCAATGCCATTAAGTACAAGGGATATCCATATTTTGAAGATTCTGAAATTCCCAATCTGAGAACATCATTGTGATCTGAGTGTATTAATATTTTAAGTCAGAAAGGGCTGTTATATACCCTTCCAAAACGCAATCAATTTTCAGTGGCATCACACTACCTACGAAACCCTAATCAGTGTTAAATATAGTTCTGATACATTTTGTTTTATTGATCATAATTGTCATGTGATTTTCTTATTTGCGTATTCAAAATCCTTTTAATATAACGTACTCATCCCTCTACATACAAAGCAGAATTTTCATTAAATCATTTAATTGCTGATTCAAGGTCTTGCAATACTTTTTAACAAGTACTCTTAATAACAAGCATGATCTTGCTTCAGTCTGGAAGTTGTATATACTCTAGGGAAATATTTTTGAATATGACTTCTTACTTCATTAAGGTGCCAACTCTGATGGTTATTTTTCTACCCAATGCTGGTGAAATTAATAAAAGTATAATAAGTTCAATTTTCTGGAAACTACTTGGCAAAAACGTAACTAAGAGATTAAGTGATGAATTTTAAAACCTTTTCCATTTTACTGCCGTCCGGTGATTCAGCAATATAATAAATAAATTTAGTAGTGGCCAATGACACTTCTTCACTTCATCTATCCATTGTATAGGTTGTTCACATAGTGACTACAAAGCACATTCACACCAACAGTATGTTTGACTTAGGGCTTATAACCATTGTATAGGTTTGCACTTAACAACAAAGAAACCCATTTTGCTATAGAAAGCATTTTATTGATTCCTCTCAGATAGTCAAGTTTATTAGTGAGATAAAAAATATTAACGAATTGAACTTTTAACTAAAAGTTTAAAAAAAGGTTAGTTTGAAGAAAGCTTAAAAAATGTTTTTGTATAAAACAACAGTTTTGTTTTTGAATTTTACTAAAAATACAAACACACTATAAGTTGTTCCTTTTTGTCGATATACTCTATATAATATGTACACTGATTTATTTTTTCATAATACAGGACCTTAAGGCATACATAACAAGATTAATGCACCATTTTCTGGAACATTAGTGCAGAGAGCAGGCGATTTATAAGTTGAACCATTTCATCTTAAATGTAGAGAAAACGGTTAAGGATATGTTCTGTTTCTGTACGTTAAAATGTGTTTAGACTTTTTTGACACGGTTTGGTTTGTTTTGAATTTCGCGCAAAGCTACACGAGGGCTATCTGCACTAGCCGTCCCTAATTTAGCAGTGTAAGACTAGAGGGAAGGCAGCTAGTCATCACCACCCACTGCCAACTCTTGGGCTACTCTTTTACAAATGAATAGTGGGATTGACCGTCACATTATAACGCCCTCACGGCTGAAATGGTGAGCATGTTTGGTGGGAGGGGGATTCGAACCCGCGACCCTCAGATTGCAAGTCGAGCGCCCTAACCACCTGGCCATGCCAGACCGAAAAGAATAGTTACAAGCCATACTTCATATTATTAGAAAAGTTGTCAACAGGAGCTGATGATCATCTGTTTATAGTAACAAAATTACACATAACAGTGCCTTGCTGTATGTTTAGCCTATGGAAGTGCAAATGGGTAATTTGTTTGTGAAGATGAAATAGAAGGTGACTCATTTCTTTCTTATTCTTAAGAAAAAAAAGGCTTTTCTAATGCCAGCTACTGAGTCATTCAGAGGTTTGTCTAAAATGTATACATATTTTTCTGTTTAAAATAAAAAAATAGTGTAACTCTGAAATGTAACAGATCGAAAGCTTGTGAATACAATAAAACTAAACAATGCCAAATACCTGAGGTCCAATAATAACTTTATATTTTTGGTCTGGCAAGTCTCCAACAACCAAAAAGAACATGGACCAAGTTGTCTTAATAAGTATAGCTTTGCTCGTTGAACTTTAGAGATCTGCTCACGTATTCTTTCCATCAATTCATGATTAGGCCCACTTGTTGGGGATGAAGCTCTTCTTTCATTCAAGTGCATTGAAGGTGATGGTGGTCTCTGAAAGATGTAATTTGTAACTTTCTCAGATAAAAAAAATCTAGATCACACTATAATAAATGATGTAATACTAAATATTTTTGGAAAAACATGCAACATTTTAAAATATAACATACCGAAGAAACTGCACATATAACGTGTGCGAAAAGCAGAATGAATCAAGGGAGTGCATTATTGTTCCAATAGGTATATCTTCAAAATATCACAATAGAGTGATTCATTTTAAAATGCAAGAAAATTTCCTTTTTAATGGAAAGATATTCAATACAATTTTGAATAAAGTCAACAAACACAATTTTTCCATGCTTTTCTGTGTAGATATGAAAATAACAAAAACACTGAAATCACCACAAATGCTTACTGGAACTGGTTTAACTCTGATTGGGGACCTTAGAATAGGACCTGGAGATGATGGTTGTGAACATGGCTGATTGATGCCCTTGGATGGTACTAATGCTTCTGTGTGTGGCTTGTCAGGACAAAGAAGGTTCAGAGCAGGAGAACTCGCTAATTTGGTCAGATTTGTTGAAGGTTTTGAACAGCTTCTTGGTGGTGAAGGAGTTCTACATGATCTTTTATTTGTCATGTTTATAATTGACACAGTGTTTTCCTGGATAAATAAGATGCATTTTATTCTACCAGTGTAATTGCCAAGCAAGACAGTTATTGTAAAACAACATGCATGAGCTTGAATAAGTTATAGATTAAAAGGTACTGGCAAAATGATGAAATCAGTAACATAAAATATTCAAAAGTATTAGCACGATTCTAAGCTCACTTTGGTCAACTAAGAACCATATTTAAAGCATTTATAAAAAAAGTTTATACAAACAGAAAAAATATTGAGTTATCTTACTTACTAGAACTGTTAGAGTTCATTGTTGGGTTGGGAGTTAATTTTATATTTTTGTTGCTGTAATCAGTTCAATGTTTTAAATACACTGGTAAATTTTACATCTAAAATAAAACAAAATCATTAATCAAAGGTATTAAATACTTTTATATAAACTAGCAAATATCAAGATTACCTGTAGCATAGTCTTCTTTATTTCAGCCACTCCTTCAGGATGTTTTACCATCTAAATAAAACAACATTCATTAAATGTATCCAACCACGTTGAATAACAAATACAGTAAATTTAGTTAACAGTATTAACAACAACAACCTTAAACCATAAATCTAATGGTTATAACAAACAACATAAAATTCTGTAACTGTACTAAACAACACACACCATATTTACTAACCTATAAATACTAAGTTGCCTACTCATAATACATAACTCCCACTAAATTTATCTAACGAAATTAAACAAAATATATGAATTAACTACACTGAATCTAACTGAGATGTGTTGGTTTTCACATAACTCAGTTTATTGTAATATAGGAAGATTACAGAATTAGTTATTGTAAAACATTTCAAAGTGGTGTAATACATATAAGAAGCTAATATATTCAATTGTAAATGTGTTTCGATTCTTTCTGCTGCCTTCTAAAGACTTTATTATACTACAAAGATGTTGCATTTCGGAAAGTTGTCCCAGAAGCCTTAGATCAATTAATAGAATTATGGGATTAGGGGGTGTGTGTATGTGTAGAAATAATTCCTTGTAGACTTGTCTGAATCATCCAGTGGGGGAGGACTAGAACCTCTGTGACTTGTGCATCCAGTAGAATAAAATAAATTAATTAATATCTTTTACTTTGAAAGTAAGGAGATAGTGGCATTTCTTAAATCTGGTGTGATCAATCTAAATACATTTTTCTCTCGCTAAAAATTGTAGAAATAAACACTCATTTATTCACTGTTTCGGTTACCTAATGTTAAACAACTTGTGGATTCTTTTTTCTAACAAAATTCTCTCTCTTTTTTTTTTTACACAATATGACAGTTTGATGACTAATGAGTTTTAAAAAAAATAACAAAAACAACAAGAACAAGTAAAAATGATTTGCAAAACTTTCTTAATATATATATATCCAAATAACTAGTATAGAAAATCTATGCTCTCCAGCAGGCTTCCAAGGCCTCATGAAGCACAGAAGCCCCAGTGTGCTGATAAAGTTCCTCCATTATCCACAATTACTTCTATAGATATCCCAAAGAAAACGCATCAGTGGGGTATGAACACAATTTTAAATATGGTGTCTCCTAAGATCCTGAGAGGGTCCAGAAACACAATATATAATGCCATAATCAGGTTCAGCATCCAGGAAAACACACTCTTTGACCCTCATCATTCTTGGATAACTTTCTAGGCAAGTTTTAGCCCTCCTTTGGTGCAGATGCTATGCCATACAGCTAAGGACATCTTCCCTGGGCCAGCTGAAGTTCACATGCTAAACTTGATCATGCTAATTCCAAACCTGTAGCAGGAATTGGCTGGACAGAGATACATACAAAGCTAAACATGGTACCTCTAAGATCCTGAGGAAAAGGGGGAAGAAACACAAATTATGATGCCAGATTCAGGTCCAGTGACTCTGAAAGTTACTTTTTGATCCCCATAATATCTAGTTGACCTTTTTGGGGGCATTAAAGCTTCCCTTGGTAGGAGAGCTATGCCATATAGATAAGGACACCCTCAGGACATCATAAGTCGCATGTCAAGTATGGTCCTGCTAGCTCCATCATTGTTGGAGGGGTTAGCTAGACATATAAAACTTTAATTTTAAGCTTATTGAGTCCTAATTACAATGTTGCTTGCCAAAATTTCCAAATTTAAAATTACTTGGTCCTCATTATAAAATTACTTTTATCTAACCTCTATTTTCAGGATAATACATTAATGGATATCCCGAGTTAAAGAAAGATGAGTTAAAGAAAGATTTGATCGTGCACAAGTTTAGATGAAATTACGTTTATAAGGTAAAATTTGCTGAGGGTTTTCTGACTACATCGAGTGGATTGAGAATGGAGCAGAGGAATCTCCTGCAAAGAAAATGTCACTGTTGACAAATAATTTTCCTAAGATAAGACAATATTCTAATAAGACATACTCATGGAAGAATGAACATGGGATCTTAGTGTATGCAGTGTACACACCACTCCAGATGTTTTATCATCAAAACAAAACACTATCTGTTATAAAGGTATCCACTGATTGAATAAAGGAACTGAGTATGTGCACTGTACAGACCACTCCAAGATGTTTAACCATTTAAATGAAACAACATTAATTAAAGGTATCCACTGACTTGAATAAAGGAACTGAGTATGTGCACTGTAGAGACCACTCCAAGATGTTTAACCATTTAAATGAAACAACATTAATTAAAGGTATCCACTGATTGAATAAAGGAACTGAGTATGTGCACTGTAGAGACCACTCCAAGATGTTTAACCATTTAAATGAAACAACATTAATTAAAGGTATCCACTGATTGAATAAAGGAACTGAGTATTTGCACTGTACAGGCCACTCCAAGATGTTTAACTATTTAAATGAAACAACACTAATTAAAGGTATCCACTGATTGAATAAAGGAACTGAGTATGTGCACTGCACAGACCACTCCAAAATGTTTAACCATTTAAATGAAACAATATTAATTAAAGCTATCCACTGGTTGAATAAAAGAACTGAGTATGTGCACTGTACAGACAACTCCAAAATGTTTAACCATTTAAATGAACAACATTAATTAAAGGTATCCACTGATTGAATAAAGGAACTGAGTATGTGCACTGTACAGACAACTCCAAAATGTTTGACCATTTAAATGAAACAATATTAATTAAAGGTATCCACTGGTTGAATAAAGGAACTGAGTATGTGCACTGTAGAGACCACTCCAAGATCTTTAACCATTTAAATGAAACAACATTAATTAAAGGTATCCACTGACTGAATAAAGGAACTGAGTATGTGCAATGTACAGACAACTCCAAAATGTTTAACCATTTAAATGAAACAATATTAATTAAAGGTATCCACTGGTTGAATAAAGGAACTGAGTATGTGCACTGTAGAGACCACTCCAAGATCTTTAACCATTTAAATGAAACAACATTAATTAAAGGTATCCACTGACTGAATAAAGGAACTGAGTATGTGCAATGTACAGACAACTCCAAAATGTTTAACCATTTAAATGAAACAATATTAATTAAAGGTATCCACTGGTTGAATAAAGGAACTGAGTATGTGCACTGTAGAGACCACTCCAAGATCTTTAACCATTTAAATGAAACAACATTAATTAAAGGTATCCACTGACTGAATAAAGGAACTGAGTATGTGCACTGTACAGACCACTCCAGGATGTTTAACCATTTAAATGAAACAACATCAATTAAGGGTATCCACTGGTTGAATAAAGGAACTGAGTATGTGCACTGTACAGACAACTTCAAAATGTTTAACCATTTCAATGAAACAACATTAATTAAAGGTATCCACTGATTGAATGGGGATGGGGACTGAATACATGCATTGTAAACACCATTTCTACATAGTGGAATGTTATCACTTTGAGGTTTAAGAATAATTAAGGAATTTATTCATCCTGCTCTATTTTTGCTATGTTTGAGTGTTATACCAAGTAACCTATATGTATGATCAACAAGAAAATATACACCAGTGAGAATGTTTTAAGGTTTAACAATACACTAGCTAACACAGTACAGCACAATAAATTAATGTTTATAAAGCTTTATAAACGTTACAGAACATTCTATTTATAAAAAAAAACTCACAAGAGGTCCTCGTTTTTGATCATCTTCAGTTTTCCTGGAACGTGACATACAGGTTGCACGCAGTTTTTCTCTGATCTTTCCTCCCTCCAGTGGTTCCAGGAGCTTCTCAGGAACTGTGGTCATATTTGATCACTAATGATCCTGCTTATTTCTTTGATCCTTTAGCTCTCTCTAAAGGTATCAAGAAACTAAAAAAAAGTTAAGTATAACAATTATATAACTGTAGTAGAGACAGCTGATATGGGTATTAAAACACTTTTACTTAAAAACACAATACAAGTAACAACGTTTCAACCTGCTTAGGTGATCATCAGGTTATGAATGACTTTGAAGTGGGTTTCTTGATATCATGAATTAGAAAACTGTTTTCTATATAAATTAACAGACTGGATTACTGGCAATTAAAAGACATTTCAAAACACAATACACACTGTATTAATGTCCTGAATCTGAGAATTATAGATCAAAACATTATTCAATATTAACATTACCAAAGTATAATAATGTAACGAATGTAATAATAACTAACTAAAACAAAATAGTGATGACAACACTGTACTCAATACTAACAACATATGCAAATACTAAAAGTAAACACAGAACAAACATTGCTATGAAAGAAGTAAAAAATTATGCCAATTTATTGCAAACAACAAAAACTGACTGAAGGAAAGAAAATATCCTGTGCTGAAAAAAAGGGGCTTTATCAAATACCACTCACTATTTTAGTGACACAAAACTTGTACTATTTTCACACTACCAGAATTCTTATTGCGTATTTCTGTTCATGTCACAAATAAAACCAGAAAAGAAATAATACGAGAAGTGTCTACTTCACACAAGAAAAATGGAGGAAAAAAAAAAGATACAAAAACATACAAAATAGTTAACTTCCACACACAGGTTTTAAGACTGACCTTTGTAACTTTATAAGTAGTAGAACACTATTTCAAGCAGTAATAGAGCAGAATTATAGTTTTTCCATTATATATAAACGAGTGCAGTGACCCTCTGCTTGCAAGATTACAAACATATACTGAGGTCCGCGTTCCCCTACATCAGTGTTGTATCTAGTTTGTTATATTCGCCACGACCTCGACTCACGCCTACAAAAAAGTGCGTCCCGAAGCCACCGTTACGCTACTGTGATCTGTTGGAGACGACACTAAGGCGGACCAATCTCTTGCTGTTGTCTGTAATCATTCTAGTTCGAAAGAGAAAGCACTATTCCGGAGCCTAGTAATAATGTCGTTAAAAACGCCTCAACAACTTAGTAACGTGGAGAAAACAAATTGGATAAATTAAGATGTAAGAATAGCTTTTAGGTATACTAATTTAAAACGGTTTTTTTTTCGTTTCTGTAGATTTATGCCCTGTATAAAAACAGTTACTTGATCACGGTTTTGGGGTTACTGGTTCACTGAATATCTTCTCTTTTGATAGTTATATTGTGAAAGGTCGGCCTTGTGAAAAATATGAAAAATTAAAACTAGAATAATAGTGGAAAACTAGAAATATGAATTTGAAAAACAGTGAAAAGATGGGTAAAAAACAACAACAGCTGAACATTGATGGTAATATATTTATTTCTCCGGAGGACAAGAGGAAAATTTGATAAACAGCCAAATACATGCAATTATCACTAACCCGAGCTGAACCAAATAGTGATATTTGTTTGTTTTGAATCTCGCGCAAAGCTACACGAGGGCTATCTGCGCCAGCCGTCCCTAATTTAGAGGGAAGGCAGATAGTCATCACCATCCACCGCAAACTCTTGGGTTACTTTTTTACCAACGAATAGTAGGATTGACCGTCACATTATAAGGCCCCCACGGCTGAAAAGGGCGAGCATGTTTGGTGGGACGGGGACTCGAACCCGCGACCGTCATATTGCCAGTCAAGCGCCCTAACCACCTGGTCATACCGGGCCGTTACCAAATAGCGATATTGTGAGTGAAAATATTTGTTCTTCTTATTATTAAAATACACTGATAAATATCAATACAGATATACAACATTTTTGGGGTAACTATCGTGTTTTCGCCGCATAATTTTTCTGCCCCCCCCCCCTCCTGCAAATATCAGGATGCAGCTATTGAAAACAATGAACATCAGATGCCTTTTGGATGAAAAGAAACGAGAGTGCACATACTTCACAAATTAATTGAAGATTCAGTAAAGCAATAAACTAGGTGCTTATCACATATTAGGTCTATGTGATTCTAGCAAAATAATAGTTTCCAACTTCTTCGAAAACCCTTCTTTAATCACGTACACAACTAAACACCTATATATATATATGATATATACAGCTAATATGACAAAGGTGCGATTTATTCTTTCACAGTTTGCCATGGAGTAAAACGATAAAATTAAAATGTGTAGAGGAATTTTTTCCCAAAAATTCTTTCACACGACACACAATCGAAAAAATTAAGAATGACAAGAAAATTTTCTAATAACTACAAAAGGAACTTTAACAAAGGTTAGCATTCCGACGTTGGTGTTATAACTTTGGTATAATATTTAGTTGATAAACCGGTAATACTGCATTCATTGTTCGCTTAGATGGCACAATATATATATATATACACACACACACATTTTGTAGACTATCGTCCTTGAGCTTTGAACTGCCACGGCGTCGAGTATAATTTACATATAAGTATATACTTCTACAGCGCACGTTATTCAGTCACGTGATTTGTTTATTAGACAAAATCCATTTCTTTCTTTTTCTTTTTCCTCTTCAACCTTCAGTTCAAAGCCAGTGTATTATTCAATAACGCTGACACGATGTTTTAATGAACTTCAAAATATTGAAAATATGAACACTGAATCTCGGCCAGTAAAACGATTTAAATAAATAGGTTAATATTTTAAAGCAGTTGCCTCAAAATAAATATTACACGTGCTTGAAAAAAAAATTAGCCACTTCTCACGGTAAAATATGTTATTGGTTGATGTTTTATGGCCCAAAGAAGGCTCCAGTATGGGAGTCGAAAGCTAGCCAATAATAAATAACGCGAGAAATGTCTGAAAATATTTCTAATTTTTATGTTAATTCCACGTTATGATTCTAAAAACATACTAATCACATGTGATTTTCAATCGATATCTCGTCACATATGCTACAATGATTTACTTAGAATATTTGATACATGTTATCAACTTCAGGTATTAGCCGATATAAATATCTTCTACCAAAGTTAGCCAACAGTGTAAATGGTGCATGTTTTCGGAAGCTAAGATTACCTATTCACAGCATGAGATTTAATTTGTTGTTTTAAAAGCTTGCGTAAGATGTGTGTGAAACGAATCTTTTCAATTTTATAAAAAAGGAAGTTTATTCAATCCATTCTCTTAACAAAAAAAAAACACCCGTGGGAATAAAACACTTACAGCTCGTTATATGTTCGTGAGATTACTTTGAAAATATCCAGATACTTGATATATAAATCGCTATATTGTTTGTTTGGTTGGTTTAGAATTTCGCACAAAACTACACAGGGCAATCTTCTTACACCTGTCTCTAATTTTGAATCAATAGAGTAGAGGGAAAACAACTAGTCAACAGTATTCAATGATAATTTTTGGACAACTTTTACCTGACCAAATACTGAGATTTGGCCATGGCCCCAAAGTGCGGAACGTTGCTTTTGTGGGAACGGTACATGAACCATGAGACCATGGATTATCAGCCCAGGCAATCTAACCATGAAGGCCACACCCGACTCACCACTGTATTCAATATGGGCTAGAAACTACCTTAAGGTAGATATACATAATTACATAACTTCCATGAATGCGAAAAAAAGATATTTCCAGTTTATGTCATGTCAGTGTATATCTATGATCAACATACACAAAATAAAAATAAAAACTAAACATATTCAATGGAAATAAACATAGAAAATGCATCTCTAAAGTTAATTTTTTCTGTAGTTTTTATATCTCCATGATTGGTCAAATGGTGATATGTAAGTTCTTTACACATACACATGGTACGTGATACTATATATGATGCAATAAATAGTGATATTCAAGTAACATTTCATTATAATTCATGTACACAATTAAAAAATTATATTGAAATCATACACATCGCTATGTCATGCACACGTACAAATTGTAAGAAATTATGAGTATTATTCGAGTCACACATTTATTACTGAAGTCACATTATTATTCAACTCAATGCACTGCAGTATTTTATCTACACAACCAAAGCGTTACGTTTATTACATGCAAATCGTCCATTGCTTTATTTCACTTATCCCACTTCTGCCAAAAAAAAAAAAAAAAGAAAAGACATCTCTCTTAGGGGGTAATGTTTAAATTTGCTAGCCCAAATTGCTTTCTAGAGAGGTGATAGATACTGTGCCTAAGCTATTTAAGTACCCCCTCCCGGACACTGTTGAAGGGGATATTTATAACTCAAACCATCATGAAGAATCGCAAGGCTTGATGATCCGAGTCTATTTCATATCACTATTGCAATCACGCCAACTGTCATGGAAACAAGGAAAGTGTTCAGATAATTCTTTAATGAAAACATTCATCATGTAGTCTTGTTTCACAGTATACATCCTGGATACTGATTTAAAACATATTAAAGAAAGAAGAGATGAACGAATTAATTTAAACAACGAAAAGAGGAAATTAAGAAAAGTCGGCTGTAAACGTATATATAACCATACAGGCACATTTCATCTGCAACCTACTTATATTGAAAGTTTGTTTCACAACTTACAGTAACAACAAATTACCGTATTTTTCGGTGTATAAGACGCACTTTTGCACCCCAAAATTTA